GTTTCCATTTGTTGATGTCTGTCTGTAAATATATGCCCAGTATGTTTTTGTTTCTTTCTTTAACGTTTTTTACTTTTAAAAATAATTTTATGCATTTTTTTTTCTGTTTTTATTAATAAAAATATTGAAAAATAATAACAATAACTCTATACATTATAATCTAACTGCATCCCAACCCCTAATCTATTATATTGGCATATTTATTTACCTTGGTGGCTTTCATATGCAAATAAAATTAAAATTGTCATCACAAATAGGAATATTTGATGTTTCTGACCTTACTGGCAACTATGCACAAACCACTGGCTATGAGTCTACTTTGGGGATAGGTGTTACTGATGCTTAACACTGTAATTACAGTTAGGTCTCTGACCATATGAGTCACAATTATTTTCTGTACCTCTGTTCTTTTCAGCTGGTCTGTGTGTCATCTCCAAATGCTATCATGAACAATTGCTATAAAAGTTTGAGTTCCTTTTTTTGTTCTGGTTGTTCACTTACACTCTAGTTTTTGTTAATGTAGTCATATGCATATTGAGGTCATTGGAAATATCTGTGATCAGTTTGAACTTACATTCACCATAACTAAAAATAATGTGTCATAAATGATCCTGCAAAGTCTATATGAATTATTTGCCACATCAAAGTACACCATTTACACAGATAAAGTACTATTTTTTTTCCATCTTCAGGCAATATAAATAGTCTAAACAACTAACTGCAAACATTTAATTGGTTGGTCTATGCATGGTCATCAAGCAAACTACAAGTTGGTGTCTTCATCTTTAATACGTCAAGATGTTGGCCCTCCAACACTTCAGCTTGATCCCCACATAACGCTGCCATTGTCAATGGTAAGTTCTCTATGTCACTGATAGGTAAAGATAAAGATTTCTTCTGTCTGGTCTGTCTGATTCTAGGCAGCAGTGCTTATTTCAGTTTATTAGCTGAGGGACCCAGTATTGTCCAAAGACATCTCCATGGTCATGGGGCCATGAAATTTAAACCTTTTTGGATTGATGTGTTGACTTTAGTCTTGGATCTCTCCTAGTTTCTTTAAATCATCCCAGCTGGAATCCGAAGATTCCTTTGAAAATGTCAAAGGAAACCCAATATGATCTGGATTTCTCATAATGTTTAAATATACAGTACAGCTAAAGCACAATATTAGGCATTGTAGTTATAGTTTCCAAATCCTTCAACAAAGATTCCTGACCCAACCAGAGCTCTCATAGATTGCAAGTGGGAACAGAATAGGAATGAATGATTTTCAATGAAAAGATGTTTAGAATGAAGTCCTTAGGATTCATCTTGAGACCAATATTTTTTAAATTGTTCATAATTGGTTAGAGTTAGTAAGTAAAGTGTGAAAGCTCTAATATAATCTCTCTACATTGGTTGAATTAATCTTAAAATAGGGAATGCTGTTCAATGTAAGCAAATGGAAATGTTGCAGATTAGACAGACATAAAAAGAAATTCAAATGACATGTACATATTTAGTAGACAGGTATTAATCGGGAAAGGATTTGAGAGGTGCAATGGATGTGGCTGCTGCTGCTGCTACAAACAGGACGAAATTGAATATTCTGGAATAGAATAATTCTATGATGATTGGTATATAGTGTACAGTTCCAGTCATTATACCACAGAACAATAAAAGCTTTAGAGAATTAAAGCACTCTGAATCATCATCCTTCTATCTAAACTTATGACCTTCCCGATACATTATGGATGGTCCTTTGCAACACTAAATGCTGGATTAGACTATCATTTAGCCTGGAGAGGCACGGCCCTTTTTATGTTCTTAATCTCCAGTATTAGGAATGACTAAGTTTGGATGTTCTGCCAGAAAATGGCCCTGGAATGCAGACAATAGAGCAGTTGCCAGTTTGACAAACAGCCATACTTTGGGGTGAAGCACAAAATATTTGGACATTCATATATTTTTAACTCTTTTTCTTCCAAGAAACTTCTTGAAAAATTCATCAGACAGGATACTTGCTAGACCTTGTAGTAAAAGTGAAGAGATTATTTGTGAGCACAATACCCAATTGGATGCCAAAATAAATAAATAACTAAAAAACGGAGGCGGAGTTCAACTAGAATGAGCCACTAGGGAAATTGTGTAGTTATGTAGCGCCACTTCACCGATAGAATGGTTTGCTGAACATGATGCATTTCGTTTCTATCAAATCAATGATTACAGTTTAATTATGTCTGAGTATAAGGAAAAATAGTGATAGTACTTTAGCTAGCATAAGTTTTCCTTCATTTGATTTATTAAATGTAAGGCAAATAAAATCAGATGTAGCTAATTTAGAAAAAAGAAAAAAAGAACCCTCCATTAAAACTTCCCTAGAAATCCCATACCACTTTCCCCTTTATTTCTCATGTTGATAGCCAAGATGACAATGGAGGAAATTATGAGATATGGCAAAGTTCTGAAGGTTTAAGTTAAAAATCTTAAGATGTGGAATGTGTAAACGGTGCAGTGTAGGTGGAGCATGTATGGCATAATGAAGTAAAACAAGGACACTGATCTGGAGCAAGCTTGAAAAAAGGAAGAGCCAAGTAATGTTGGTTTGCTTTTAAAGAATATAATTCTCTCGTCAGGGTTCAGGGGCCCTGCCTGCTACCTAATATACAAATAAAAATCCACCAGGGCCCTAGGTTGGAGAAAGCTATTATAGAGACCATTGTTCTCATGTTGTTTGTCATATCGCACCATCAATTTTGCTAGCAATTATTAAGCATTTTTTGAAAAAAAAAAAAAAAATCTATAATACATCACCTCTTCTAGATAAACGCTCTTTACCCAAAGTTCTTGGATTTTTATCCCTACTATCCCCATAATTCTGATAATAAAGCAGAAGTTTTCAAATGTTAGGGTTACACTAGAACAGTGGTGGCGAACCTATGGCACGGGTGCCAGAGGCGGCACTCAGAGCCCTCTCTGTGGGCACACACACCACCTCCCCAGTCCTAGGCCTTCAGCTGGGTTTTATAAAACCTTTTAGCTTTAGGCCTCCGCCGCCATGTGAAAAAAAAAAAAAGGTTCAATCAATCAGTCAATTTCAACTTCTCGCGGGAGAAAAAAAAGATCTTGCAAAGTTGGAATTGATTGATTGAACTTTTTTATCCCACCCAGTCTGCCGTTACTACCGCAGCCATGCCCACCCAATAGGCCACCCCCACCCAATGGGCCACGCCCACCTGGCACCTGATGATGCATAAGTAGGGTTGCCAGGTGTCCACTATTTGAGTGGACAGTCCACTTTTTTCACATTATGTTCACTATTTTTTTCACAAAATAGTGGACATTTTTTTTATTCAAAAGCTTTATGATGAAATGGTACGTAATCTAAAACTGTACAGTCTACTTTTTTTACTACTTAACCCCCCCCCCCCCGCTTGTCCGCTATTTTTTGGAAGCAGACCTGGCAACCCTATGCATAAGTGGGTTTTGGGTTGCACTTTGGGCACTCGGTCTCTAAAAGGTTTGCCATCACTGCACTAGAGGCTGCCTTCTCTAGAAGACCTGTGTGCTGAAGAGTTGGTTTAGACCAGGGGTCAGGAATNAAGTTAAAAATCTTAAGATGTGGAATGTGTAAACGGTGCAGTGTAGGTGGAGCATGTATGGCATAATGAAGTAAAACAAGGACACTGATCTGGAGCAAGCTTGAAAAAAGGAAGAGCCAAGTAATGTTGGTTTGCTTTTAAAGAATATAATTCTCTCGTCAGGGTTCAGGGGCCCTGCCTGCTACCTAATATACAAATAGAAATCCACCAGGGCCCTTAGGTTGGAGAAAGCTATTATAGAGACCATTGTTCTCATGTTGTTTGTCCTATCGCACCATCAATTTTGCTAGCAATTATTAAGCATTTTTTGAAAAAGAAAAAAAAGATCTATAATACATCACCTCTTCTAGATAAACGCTCTTTACCCAAAGTTCTTGGATTTTTATCCCTACTATCCCCATAATTCTAATAATAAAGCAGAAGTTTTCAAATGTTAGGGTTACACTAGAACAGGGGTAGGCAACCTCGGCTCTTTTATGACTCGTGGACTTCAACTCCCAGAATTCCTGAGTCAGCATAGCTGACTCAGGAATTCTGGGAGTTGAAGTCCACGAGTCATAAAAGAGCCGAGGTTGCCTACCCCTGCACTAGAAGCTGCCTTCTCTAGAAGACCTGTGTGCTGAAGAGTTGGTTTAGACCAGGGGTCAGGAATTCTGGCTCAGGAATTGGCTGGCTCAGGAATTCTGGGAGTTGAAGTCCACGAGTCATAAAAGAGCCAAGGTTGACTACCCCTGCTTTAGACCTTCACGGACCAAAACCTCTCAGCATCCCCTTCTCTTCCGTGAAGAGTCCCAAGCTGACACGTTCAGTCCATTCTCGATTCCCATCCGCCCACTGCGCCTGCCGCTGCCTTCCAAAGGAAAGGAAGGACGGCGGACGAGAAGCCTGCCCCGCCGCTGCTGCTGGGTTACAAGCCGAGAAAAGCAACCCCCCCCCCCCAAGGCTTCCTCGGTCTTGCGGAGAAATAGGATAGCCCGGGGATTGGAAGGCGGCGGCGGCAGGGGGCTGGTGCTACCGAGACGTCGGGATGGGACTCTATGGGTGCGGCAGGACCTGCGCCGTCGAGCGCTTAGTCTAGAGTGCCCTCCTTCGGAGAGGCTCTCGGTCTAGAAGCGGGATGCAGCCTGTCGGCTGGCCCTTTCGGGAGCCCGGCTTTGCACGGAACCGAACCGAACTGCGTACTTCATTGGCCGAGTGGGGTTGCCGACGCCTTCGGTCCTGAGTTTAGAGAGAGGCCTCGACCCCCCCCCCGCCCCTCCCCTTCTCTACGGCTTCGCGAAAGCGACGCTCCACCTCTCCCCCTCCTCCCTCGCTCCCCCCTCCCCCTCCCGCTCTCCCCCTCCCGCTGTTATTTCGCCCCCCGCGTCTTCAGGCGCGGCTCTTCGCTCTTTTTCCGCGGAGGGGAAGCCGGGCGTCGAGATGGGCGTCAAGCTGCGCTCCGGCTTCTACCTGGGAAAGAAGTTCGCGCTGCTGCTGGCGCTGCTCCCGGCCGCCCTGCTCTTGGCGCTCCTGGTGCTGGCGATCCTCTACGGGCGTTGCGCCTGGGGACCGAAAGGATCCGACCCGCTGCTCCCGGGCGTTCCGACGACGCCCGGGGCCAACGCCAGCGCGGAGTCCGCGACGCGGCCCTCGGGGCCCTGGGATCAACCCCGCTTGCCCCGGCACGTCACGCCGATCCACTACTCGCTCCGGCTCTGGCCCCACCTGGCGCCCGGCCTCCCCGAGCCCCGCACGCACTCGGGACAGGTGAACGTCACGGTGCGGTGCCGCGAAGCCACCTCCACGGTGCTGCTGCACAGCGCCGAGCTGACTTACCGGGGCGCTTCAGTGTGGGGCCCGCTGGAGGAGGCGCCCGCCAACACCAGCCGCAGCATCCCGCTGGGGGAGGTGTGGGTGGCCCCTGCGAACCAATACCTGGTGCTGGAACTGCTGGAGAGCCTGAGAGCGGGCAGCCTCTACGAGCTGCGGTTCGCCTTTCAGGGGAAGGTTCAGCCGGGGCCGGACTACTCCGGGCTCTTCCTGAACACCTACGAGGACGAAGGCGAGAGCAGGTAGGTCTGGTCCCAAGGATGCCGCTTGCTCAGACCCTGAGCCGACAGGAGGGTTATAATAGGGCTACCTGTAATCCTGTCCTGCAAACTCGCTACCTGTAATCCTGTCCTGCAAAGAAAGGCAGAAGACAACATCTAGGGAGCTATTCTAAGGAAGGCCACGGTACCATAATCGTCATGCAGATCAATATCAATTTCTTTAAGAAAAGGATGCCCTGTTCCAAAATAGAATGAGAGGGATTTCGGTGACAATGCATCCAGCTGGTTGAACCAGATTATAACCCGTTTTTAAATTATAAAGGGTATTAAGTAACACTTCTGTGGTCAGCTGATACTCCCCGGAGTTGCCCAAGACCTTTCACTGTTGGCTACTTCTTGTTCCTTACTGGGGGGGGGGGGAAGATACAGGGTCGGACAATGGTGCAGCTTGATCATACAGGGTCTGAGGTTAATGCATGTATGGTCCAGCCAGCTGTATTGCTTCTGCTGTGAAGCACCCAATTTAGAACATTGAGAACATGGAACATAGAATAATAGAGTTGGAAGGAACCTCAGAGATCTTCTAGTCCCACTCCCTGCTTGAGCAGGAGATCCTATATCATTTCAGACAAATGGTTGCCCAGTCTTTTTTTGAAAGCCCCTAGTGCAGGGGTAGGCAACCTTGGCTCTTTTATGACTCGTGGACTTCAACTCCCAGAATTCCTGAGCCAGCATGGCTGGCTCAGGAATTCTGGGAGTTGAAGTCCACGAGTCATAAAAGAGCCAAGGTTGCCTACCCCTGCCCTAGTGGAACACCGACAAATTCTGAAGGCAAGCTATTCCATTGGTTGATTGCTCTCACCATTAGGAAATTTCTCCTTAGTTCTAGGTTGCTTCTCTCGTTGGTTAGTTTCTGTCCATTGTTTCTTGCCTTGCCTTTTGGCGCTTTGGAAAATAGATTGATCTGCTCATCTTTGTAGGAGCCCCTCAAATATTGGAACAGTGCTATTTTATTGTGAGTGGTGAGTGCTATTTTATTGTGAGTTGGGGAGATGTTTGGTAAAATTGATTAAAATAAAAAATGGGCATGCTTGAATTTGCTTTTTAAAACTTGTCAGCACTTTTCTAGATAAAAAGTGAGAGATCATAGAAAAAAATAAGCTTTGTAGAGCTGGGGCAATTTTTGCATTGTCAGTTTGAAACAATCTCAAAATTTCCAATGGAAAGAGTACATAACAGAGGCATGGATTACTCTCCTACCCTTCTGTAGTTGACTAGTGTAGGTTGTGCTAGTTACAGGGGTAGGCAACCTCGGCTCAGGAATTCTGACTCAGGAATTCTGGGAGTTGAAGTCCATGAGTCATAAAAGAGCCGAGGTTGCCTACCCCTGTGCTAGTAGGATGGAAGGTGGCTATCTCAGCTTTCTTCTCCCTCAGATCCTCTGCTTTTTGCACTCTGGTGCCCCCACTTTTCTGTCTAAATGTAGCTGCTTGGTGATTTCTGCTGCCATTGCCTGTCAGTCACATGGATCTTTTTACCTGATGTTTTCCCACAATAACCCTGGAATGTGAGACAGGCTATGCCATTACTGAAGAATAAAGCAAAAAAAATAATAATAGAGAAAAATAAAGTGGATAAAAACAAAACAAATTCTGTAGTGTAAGGCATGTGACAAGGCAGTCAGCATCTCTTTCTCTTTTAGAAAGACATTATTTTCAAAATGATGTATTTATTTTGTTAGATTTTTATCCTACCTACTCTATAAGTAACTCAAAGTGGAGAACTTACAGTATCTAACATTCCCTCCTCCTCTTATTTTCCCCACAACAACAATCCTGTGAGGTGAGTTGGGCTGAGAGACAGTGACTGGCCTAAAGTCACCCAGCCATGTTTTTCAAAAGCCTAAAATGGCACTAGAACTCGGAGTTTCTTGGTTTCTAGGCCAGCACCTTAACCACTGCATTGTTTATAAAGAAGAAAGGAATGTAAAAAATAATTTATCTTGTTGTAAGGATTGCACGTTTCTGTTGGAGGAAACAAACTTGTAACAAACTCTGCAAAATCACAGATAACATTTCAGAATAATCTCCTATAGAATGTGAGACAAGAGAGGCTTGGGGCAAATTACAGTCTGGGATGGACCCGTTAGTAGGAAAGGAGCAGCAACACTTAGCAAGATGCATTAAAACCTGAAGTCAAGAGGTTTGTTATTTATTTGCACAAGGTGAGCATTTTTTTTTATTTGAAAACTTGTTGAAATTAAAACAAATCGCCTTTTTTTTTTGTAATGCCCTTGACAATCCTTGTTGTTTTATACTTCTGAGCAAGTCAGACATAAGGTCAAATCCTCTCCTCACTTGCCAGTATGTTTGCTGTCCAAATAGCAGGGTGTTTTGAAACATGCTAATAACTAACCCACTCTTTCCTATCCTGGCACTCTCTAACTCATGTGCATCTGTTTATTCTTTCTTGGAATTGTCATCTGACACATCTGGAAAACACTAGGCTGGACCAGGCTCACCCTTTACTTATTTGAACAAATAGAAATTGTGAAGTATTATAGGTGGGGCTCACATATTCTGCTAAGTATGGCGTGTGGACTAATCTGCAGTTGACTGGATTCACATGTAGTGCTAATACATAACATAGAAATTGATAACTTTTTTGTAGCCAAAAGTAATACAGGTTCTCCCTATTTAACAACTATCCTGTTTAACAACTTTATGTGTGTTTAACAACTGTTTGTAATGGTGCTGAAAAAGTCACAATTGTTGCAGCATCCCTACAGCCATGTGACTGAGCTTTGAATACTTCACAACTGGCAGGCATTTCCCACCACAATCTTGCAGTCATATGATTGACATTTGCGACCTTTGCAGCATCTTGCAGTCATATGATTGACATTTGCGACCTTTGCAGCATCTTGCAGTCATATGATTGACATTTGCGACCTTTGCAGCTTCTCACAAGCAGAATCAATGAAGAAGCTGGCCGTAAAATTGCCAGTTATGATCATGTAATGTTTCGCTTAATGACCATGTCACCAAGCAATGGACTTGCTGGTCCCAAATGTGGCAGTTAAGTGAGGACTACCTGTACTTTTTTTCCCCCTGAAAACTGAGGACCACAATATAGATCAAATCATACTGTACCCAGTATGTGGAAGGGAGTTGGTGTTTTGAAGAAATTTGTGGGGATGAGAGAGAGAGAGAGAGAGAGAGAGAGAGAGAGAGAGAGAGAGAGATTCCTCCTGTAATTTAATCAGTGAAATTGCCATGCTTTACCATGCAAAGCTTCAGAACTCCAGATGTATACAAGTCACTTCCTATATATATATGAAATTATCAGACAACCGTTTAAGATGCATTTAAACATACCGGTAAACTGTAACACAAACCACAAGGAATATGGAATGTATTGTGATGGAAAAACAATGAAATGAAGCTAGAAATTCTCTCCACCTTCCCCCCCCCCCGCCACTCTGGCTCTCCCACTTGCATAGATAAAATAAGATCAGCTTGAGGCTGCTACAAGATCCAAGAACAGTGAAGTTTCTGCTGTCCCTAAAGCCCCTTGAATGCTATCGCAGCAAAAACCACGAGGAAGCCCTAATCTCTTCACGAACAGATTTGTGTGGGGCGGAGGGCAGCCTCCATGAAGAAACTTTGCTAACAAGTTGAGAAATGGTGGGCGTTCCACGCTAATCTGGCGTGCGAGTTGCCTGCTGATCTCCATGTTCCTTAACAATTGGAACCCCTCAGCTCGCCTGTCGCGAGGACGAGGCTTTGGTTATTCAATAGCAAAATAACGTTTGTTTTCTTTGTTTAACATGAATCTTCTCCACATTTTGTTTATGAATCAGATTTCTTAGACTTCCCATCTCTCAATCCCAAAGAATTTCTTCTATTGGTTGGGGGTCCCTGTTTCTTGGAAAGAATAAAAAGTTGCAATCAGCGGTGCTTCCTTTCTTTGGCAAATTTCCACCACATCTTTATCCATAAAGCGCTCTCTCTCTCTCTCTCTCTCTCTCTCTCTCTCTCTCTCTCTCTCTCTCTCTCTCTCTCTCTCTCTCTCTCTCTCTCTCTCTTTCTCTCTCTCTGGGTGTGTGTGTGTGTGTATAATTTATGACTAAAGAGAAAGTAAAAATGAATGAAAAATTGGGACATGTTTAAAAGTCTCTGCATGTATTTTTTTAAGCCTTTGTCCTTGGCTGTATATTTCTCCACTTTTTGTATTGGAATTAAGATTGAAAAGTGAGAATTTTCACTTAAACAAAACAAGTCGGTATATTTACCCTGATTCCATATGCTTTAAAGCAGAGGTCCCCAACCTTTTGGGCACCAGGGACCAGTTCTGTGGAAAGAGCTTTTTCCATGGACCGGAGGGTGCGTGGTTTTGTGTGCTGCCTGCATTTTGTGGATGGGGCTTTGCTTGTTTGTGTGGCCCTGTAGCTGGCATGCCACGGCCCAGTACTGGTCCACGGACCGGGGGTTGGGGACCCCTGCTTTAAAGCACCTCAGCTTACCATTCACCTAAAGAGAAATAGCATTTTTGAAACCAAGAAAGACTCTTCATTTCTTTAGAATAATTTTTACTGAAACTAAGGGTTAACAAATATACTTTGAGAAGTAGCATTCATAATGCCAAATACAAGGGCATGTGCTTGATACAGTGTTTCAGCAAACCAGATGGTAACTCCCCTGGCACTTTATTTGTATAATATTTCATGCCACCCACCATTAAAACCTTCAAAATTATGAAGCATGAAACTTAGTATGGAACATGTTCCCTTCTTTGGGTGGTAAATTGGACTTGAAGTGGCAAGTCGGGGGAGACAGGTGCATTCCCATCTCCAACATGGGAAAGAACAGGCTGAAGTGAATAATGCCAAGTTAGATGCACTGTTTGTTCGCCAATGTTCTCCATCAGCTCCTATGAGAGTTCCTACCTCCAGATAGGCAGGAAGGGAAGCAGGAAAGCATCACCTCTGAAGGAATCGGGTTATGATCTGAAGATCCTTCTGAATTCATGGTTTCTGATATAACAAATAAAAGCCTATATAAAAGGGCCTTTGGTTGGTATAAAATTTATATCCTTACCTGGTTCCATCATTGAAATATATACTGTGGGCCCTGCAACCGTTACCTTGTGTTTATAGTTTTTACAGTTTTGACCAATAAACTATACCTACAGGACTACCTGCTCTATCCTGAATCACTCCAACCTATTTGATCATATATGAAAAAAAATACTTCCATCATTCATCAATCAATGAAATCTCTGAGGAAGATACAGAAAATGGAGCTGATCCAAAGAAATTTTAACCCGTTCAGGGCTATGTTCTGTTTGATTTATTTATTTTTCTTATTTCACTGTTATAAAGTTGCTTTGAGTCCTGATGTCAAGCTTGTGTTCATTAGATCTTTTGTGCAAAATCTGGTCTATTTGTCTTATGTTAAATCCAGAGGAGCATTGCTGGCAGATGATAGTAGGTATCACTTTTGGAGGAAGAACATTTGAAGGCACCTCTAACTTTGTGTATATGGTTGTTGGGGCCTGTGATCATGCTGTTGCTATAGATGAAGGTGCAAAGTAGATATCTGGGGTTCTTGCAGTGTCTGGTTCCAAACTTGGCATCATTCGTCTGTTGCTCCTTGTTGCTTATGAGGATCAGTTTCAAGTATGGGCCAGCAAGCCATTACCTAAGAAAGTTTTCAGTATTGTCTGTAGCTTATTCATGCATTTGAATGCCTTGAGTTGTGATAGGTGATAATCAGTGATGTTTTGCTGTTTCTGTTTCTGTGATCTGTCTTTTAATATGTCCTTCCTAGGAATTATCTGGCTTGACTGTTTTTACTATTGGATTTGATGGTGGGTGATCAAACTCTGGTTTAATTTCATCATTGATCATCTTGGTTAAGTGAGTCAGAACAAATGTGGTTGTAGTGTAAAGCCCGAATATAGATGGTGGATTAGGTGATTTGTACTGAATGGAAGCTGGATGGAAGCTGGATGGCAATCTGTAAGTTTCTTGTATATTGTGATGTTTATGTCCCATGTATCACTTTATGATGACATCAAGGATTTAAGGCTATGTGTACATAACTTCATTTGGTACTGGATTGGATTAGAGCAGCACCATCTTGAAGGTATCTATGCAAATATCTGGTTTTGCTTGCATGATTGTATTAAAATGATTCAACTGAATTCTATTTGTATTCTAATTAGGTGGATAATTGTTTCACAGCTACAACCAACAGCTGCAAGATATGTTTACCCATGCTTTGATGAACCTGCAATGAAAGCTACCTTTAATATCAGCATTGTTCACCATCCCAGCTATGTGGCACTTTCCAATATGCCAGCTTTAGGTAATTAATATAAATAAAGTCTTATCTGAGCACAGATCCTGCTAGTTTCATGAACATACAATTTTGTAGCTTTCTTAGTAGCAGTAGGGAAATGTTAACACTGTACATGTACATTCTGTAATGTTTTTTCCACTTCAAGTTTGGACTATAGTTATGGAAAATCCTGATCATCTCCCATCCAATTACTAATCAAGTCCATTCTTGTTTAGCTTCCAAAGCCAAACAAGATGGCCATATTATGTTACGCAGGTTGAAGCAACAATAGTATCATAGTTAAACAGTAAGATGCTTTGGATATGTAAAATCTGAATTCCAGCACATTGAAAACTGAACTATTTGCTCAGCTCCTATATCCCCCCCTTTATTTTCATGTGCTTTGCTTTCCCAGTGTTTAACAGCAATCACATCTGGAACAAATTCTATCTCAATGAATTCTGCTATAAATACCAAAGAAAGTAGCACTAGATTGGGAAATTAAATATCCTTCCAACTTGACGTTGCTTATAACAAGTGTTTCCTGCTACTGTACTGGAAAAATACATTTATAAGTACAATAATATTTATTCTCAGAATAATTTTGGTAGAAAATAGAAGCTAGATTTACACAGTATCTACAACACAGGAAGCCCTTTCATATATGATTCTGATTCACTAGCTTCTCTTGCAGATGCTTCAAGTTGGCTGTGTATTTGTTTTTTCCTCTAAGAAGATAAAGGTTGCTTTCATGAGAGATGGATATTGGGGAGTCTGCTTTCATGTTATCCCCATGTCAGCCATGAGGTTGGCCATGGTGTGAGAGAGTGATTGATCCAGAATCAACTAGTGAGGTTCCATGACTGATGGTGGATTGGAATATCACTCCCTATGTAACCTTTATACCAGGGGTCCCCAAACCCTGGTCCGTGGATCAGTATCGGGCTGCGGTATGCCAGCAACTGGGCCACACAAACAAGCAAAGCCCCATCTGTGGGATGCAGGCAGCACACAAAACCATGCCCCCTCAGTCTGCGAAAAAAACCTCTCTCCACAGAACCGGCCCCTGGTGTTCAAAAGGTTGGGGACCTCTGCTTTATACCACAGTGGCTGTCTTTGAAAAATGTGTTTATGAAAGAGGTTAGGAATTGTATTGCAGAGTTTGGGCAGACAATTAATTATCCTAAGGTGTGGATTTCAATTATCTTCTGTGCTCTGAAAAAAAAAAGAATATTGGTATATTATTGGTAAAAGCAAATATATTGTGCCTATCTTGCCCATCAGTATGTAGTATGATGGAAGCAGGCAACTTTTTTTGTGTAATTGCACTTATTGGGCTTTTGAAATTTTAAGGTATTTCAGGCTTAGCCCATTACTTTTGACTGACTTTATTTTTTAAAAGATGATGTTTCCCCTCCCCCCCTTCCATAACTGCTGAAAATCTTGTTGCTGAACTTGATAACCATGGTTTTGGGATTGTTGGGAGTGGAGACAAAATTAGTGCTGGGAGGACCTGACATGGGCTATGGATTCCTCAATTCTGCAATGCAATATGAAGTATATGGAAAGTAATAAACTACACACTTCATACTTATTTATGAAGTATTTTATATATGTAGTTAACATAAGAGCCACTTTGATGTAGTGATTAAGGCATCAGATTAGAAACTAAAAGATGAATTCTAGACGTAAAACCAGCTGGGGGACTTTGGGGCGAGTCACTTTTTCTCAACCCTGGGAAGAAGGCAACGGTAAACCATTTCTGAAAAATCTTGCAAAGTAATTGGGGATTCATCCAGGCAGTCACCAGGAGCCAAAAAATGACTTGAAAGTACAAAAAAAAAGCTAATATATATTTGGATTGCTTCTTTATTTTTAAATAGATGCATCTGAGTATAAAGATGTGAACAACAGTGCACTGAGTGCTTTGATGAATGAAACTACACCAATTAACTGGACTATCACAACATTTGAAACAACACTGAAAATGTCTACGTATATCACTGCTTTTGTGGTCTGTAAGTTTGATTATGTCACCACAACTGAAAGAGGCAATCAGGTAAATAAATGTCTTGAGGTTACATATCAGTATGTATTTGCATTTGTGATTAGGTTTTGTGTTACACCAGACATTCCTAAATTTAATTGATTCAGTAACATATAAATGGCATAAATCAGTGAGAAGCACAATGCAATTCTCGAGATTTTCCCTTCATACAAAATATTATAATAAATGAATAGGCAGTTAACATGTTGTAAAGCAAAGCACCAGTCTCTAAAACAGGTTGGCAACTTCATGACCTGTGGACTTCAACTCCCAGAATTCCTGAGCCAGTCAGAAGTCCACAGATTGTAAAATTGCCATACTTGCCCACCCCTGCTCTAAGTTCATCTTTATTTGCAGCAATTACTTTGATACCTACAAAAATCTCACTTGCATGATAGAATTCTGAATAGTTTACCTGTGGTAAACATGTTTGCGTGTTTGCTTTGACCCAGCCTTGCCTCAGATTAAGACCAGATGATGCCTTAAGACCAGATGATGCTCACCAATGTTGCCCCACTCTCAAGCCATGAGATGGAAAAAAATATATTATCAGACAACACCTTCAAAACAAAATGCTTAAACCTTTTTTACTCCTTGTGTGAAAGATTTTTTTTTAACAATGCAGATTAAAGTTGAACACAGCAAATAAGGACAATTACTTTTTTTTTTTTTTTACTAAACTTGAGGGTGGCAATGAAAGAGTTAAGAGTATCATAGACAGGGGAAAAACTGTAATACCTTCCCTTTCCTTGGTGCCCTGAGCTTGTTTTTCTTAATGATTAATCCAGGACTGTCTTGCCAGTTTAAAGATGGTTGGAAGCAAACTTGATTTTTACCCATGCTTAAACTGAAATTATACTTTGTGTTAAACTAACATTTAGTTTGATACAACTGCCCTATCCCCAAGATCATGTTTTTACAGATTTCTAAATATCATAAGGGTTGGGGAGGATATTGTTCTGGAGAGCTGGCACCTTAAGAGAGAAAAAAAAATCCTGGATCCTATAAGACAGGGGTCCCCAACCCCTGGTCCATGGACCAGCACTGGTCCACAGCATGTCAGCATGTCCACACCGGTCCGCACAAACAAGCGATGCAGGATGCAGGCAGGACGCAAAACCACGCCCCCTCTGATCTACGGAAAAACCTTTCTCTACAGCACCGGTCCTTGGTGCTCAAAATGTTGGGGGCCTCTGCTGTAAGATATGACACAGTTTAATGAGTGGGACTTGCAGTTTACCTACTTTACTTGATTGTACCAGATGGGAAAAACAGTTGGAATAAACAGTCCCTACACCAGGGGTGTCAAACTCGCAGTGTCACGTGATGTGTTGCGACGTATCACGACTTTTTTTCCATTGCTGGCAATGGGGTGGGTGCGGTTTCGCTATGATGCATCCGGACTGTGGACCGGCAGTTTGACACCCCTGCCCTATACCATGAAGTGTTGCTATTGTATCTCAACCCTTTGTAAAAGGTATTTATGGTTCCGAGTGTTGACTGAACCTACCTTCTTATTGTTCATTCAGTAAATAAAGTTACATGCCTTAGTCACAATTCATTTGGGCTAGTGCAATTTGCTATACTTGAGATTATGCTTGAAGAATCTGTTAGAAGCTGCAATTGGTCCAAATGGAACAGCTTGAGTAGTTAATTAGAGATGCCTCTTGATTTCACTGAATGAAACCATCACCACATTGATTGTCATTTAGTTTCCAGTGCAATTCAAGCAGCATCAAAGCTTATCTTAAAAGCCCTACATTGTTTCAGACCTATACACCTGCATGACTGCTGTCTCCTAGGGGTTTCTTTCTATTCAATAAAGTCTATTGGAAAGAGCACTTTTTTGAACCCGATCCATGTGAGGTTGCCATCACCAAGGACCATGAGGTCATACCTTTTCTGTTGCTACCCTCTTCTTCAGTATAATGAGAATGAGGCCCCAAATTAATTGGCATTCATGAAAACCACTAAGGCCTGATTGTTCCAGAAAGCTTTGGGGTTTGATAGTGAAGTAAGTCTTCTCCCTGTAGAAGGCAGTTATAGTTGTTACTGATTTGGCAATATTTTTTAAATTTCCTTGTTATTCTTTTTCTGTTATTTGTGAGCCATTCAGAACCTTTTTGCAATTGAACAGCATAAGATTACGGTAAACATAAGCAGTCACGTGTTGTTCTAAGTTAAAATATGAGTATCCTAATTTTAAATTAAAAACTATATGAACTCAGCCCTTGTGGTCTGCAAACCTTAATATGTCACTTACTACGTTACATGAAACCAGTCAACAGTTGCTTTTATTTATTCATTTATATTTGCATGCTTTCTGACTCCCTACAACTCTGGTTGTCTCACAATAGTTAAGGAAACTGTAACGCTAACCAAATAATAATAGGTAGATAAAAATGCCAAATCTATCTAAACATCTGGCTGGCTGTATGACAAAAGTAAAAGGTATTAGAAGATATGTTTACACTATAAGACAGACAGATACACTAAAGCAGGCGTAGGCAACCTTGGCTCTTTTATGAGTCGTGGACTTCAACTCCCAGAATTCCTGAGCCAGCCATAAAAGAGCCAAGGTTGCCTACCCCTGCACTGAAGGAAAAGATGAGGTAATTATGGGCTTGATTCTTACTATCTGAAATAATACTTCTTCTTTCTAATAGATACGTGTTTGGGCTCGGAAGGATGCTATTCAAAAAGGATTTGCTAATTATGCTTTAAATATCACAGGGCCAATATTTTCATTTCTGGAAGACTTACTAAACATCAGTTATCCTCTTTCAAAAACAGGTATGCTAGCTTGTTAACTTTTAAAAATGTTTAAAAGACTATTGAGACTTGCAAGCATAGTAGCTTCAAAAATGCTGTTTTATCTTATTTCTGGCCTTAATTTAGTAATCTGTAATGTAACTGTTATAAAACTCCATTTCTATTGTTCAGAAAGTCATTGGTTCTCTTTGACAATTAACATTTTGATGCATACCATATTTTATTATATTGTAGTTGGAATATTTATACTTTGCTTTTGTGTTTAAAAAATGGCTAGAATGACTTACAATAGACCACACAAACTCTTTTCAAACAGTCACAATCGCCTGTGGCAGGGGTCCCAAACTCCTGGTCTATGGTGGGGCTAGCGCACACATGTGAAGCTGCATTAGTGAAAGTGATGCATGCACAAAACCATCCTCTCTCTCCCCCTTCCGTCTCTGCTGTCTGCCAAGCCGGAAAGGTTGAAAACTGCTGGCTATGGGATCATCACTACATTTGAGAGAGTTTGCATATTTCTGGGTTAACAGAAGGCAAAAAAGATGGCCAGATGGGGCAACAACTACAGTTCTGCTCATCAAAAAGGCTCTGCTGAAAGATGGGGGTGAAATACTAAGCCTTCCTGTAATAATCTCCATTTTATGGAGTACTGTACTCTTATCCAGGAGTTCCTAATCTTGGAAATTTTAAGATGTGTGACTTTAACTCCCAGAATTTCCCAGCCAGCCACCATGCAGCTCCCATCTTGCTACAGTTACTGTTACATTTCAATGCATTTTAGTTCCAGCCGACTGAATATGAATACCTTTCTTAAGCTTTATTTGGGGATTTTTTTAAATACTGCTCTGGATATAGCTGCTTATTATTAAGGGGATATTTTGTTTTGTTTTTGTTTGATGCTATAAGCTGCCCAGAATCTTTTGGGGTTGGGTTATAAGTACTATAAAATAAATAAGAAAAAACAAAAAAAAACCACAAATAAATGCCGAGTTTCTGGGATTCGTGTTTTCAATGTCTTTAGGGGACTAAAGACCAAGGAAACCCTGTGATAATATCAAATTATGACATGTAGCTTCTTGTAGATGCTATATATTGTTTACAATGTCAGCCCTTTGAGATAGGCTAGGACGGTCAAGAAAAATACACAACAGGATTCCAGGAATTTAGTAAGGTAGAATAATAGAAGTTTGAAAGTCTGCCCAAGTTTATCCCATCTTATACGAAATAAAATCAAGGCATTATTTTTAGTGTCTTTCTCATGCTTTCCTGTTTTTCAGGGCTGTAATTTTTTTTTAAAGTTGCCTCTTAATGGCTTGCTAATTAGCACTTATTGTAGCAAAAGCAATTAGACTTATATACCTCTCCATAGTGCTTTACAGCACAGTCTGAGCAGTTTACAAATGTCAGCATATTGCCCCCAACAATCTGAGTCCTCATTTTATCAGCCTTGGAAGGATGGAAGGCTGAGTCAACCTTGAGCTGGTCAGGATCGAACTCCTGGCATTCTTCTAATTTCCTGTGTAAATCTTAATGTCACTAGTTTGATTTTGACTTAGAACTATGTGTGGACCTAGCATTGTGGTTTATAAATCTTGCTTTGTGGTTTATCACTATGTTTGATGACCCCCCTAGACATTGTTGAACATACTCACTTGGCATAATATGTGAATCTTGCTAGAGATAATGAAATAAACATATTTGAAATAGAAATTGGCTAAATTACATGAAAGTAGCATTTGTAGATCTAAATGAATGATACTATTAATCCTGAGTATCTTGGGAAATATGTGGTATGTAAAAAGGGTTTACAGTATGTAATCATGTTAAGAATTAAATTGTTAAAATGACTCTTTTTCTCTTCAAATTCCATTAGATTTTGTTGCAGTACCTCTTATGGATCACGGTGCAATGGAAAACTGGGGACTAATGATTTTCCATGAAACATCCTTATTGAGTAATCCAGAAGATAACTATATATCACATAAAATCCAGATTTGCCAAGTTGTTGCTCATGAGATAGCACACCAGGTATGCAGTAAAATATCCTGTACAATATTTTCATTGATCATTACAATCAAAATGTTACTTCCTAATTACAGGTAGTCTTCTATTTGCAACTATATGTTTAGGTCAGGGATCCCCAACCCTCGGTCTGTGGACTGGCACCGGTCCGCAGCATGTCAATAAGCGGGCCGCACAAACAAGCAAAACTCCATCCTCAGATGCAGGCAGTATTCCAAACCACACCCCCTCTGGTTTGCGGAAAAACCTTTCTCCATGGCACCGGTCCCTGGTGCCCAAAAGGTTGGGGACCTCTGGTTTAGGTGACTGTTTGAAGTTACAACAGCATTGAAAAAGTGACTTATGGCACTTTTTCACATTTATCATTGTTACAGCATCTCCATGCTCACATGATCAAAACTTCGGTGCTTGCCAACTGGCATTTATTTATGACAGTTACATTGTCCCTGGGTCACGTGATCCCCATATGTAACCTTCCCAGAGGGCTTCTGACAAGCAAAGTCAATGGGGGAAGCTTTACAATCACCTGATTCACTTAACTGTTAAGTGATTCGCTTAACAACTGTGGGGGAAAATTGTAAAATGAAGCGCAACTCACTTAACAGCTGTGTTCCTTAGCAATGGAAATTTTGGGCTCAACACATTAGCAGTTTGGAGAGTAACAGATTGGGGAATGCTGATCAAGCAATATAAACTAGTGCTTCTCAGCCTCTGCAATTTTTTTGATGTGTGGGTTCTAATTCCCAGATTTTCTAGTATGCTGGGAATCCTGGGAGTTGAAGTCCACACATCTTAAAGTTGCTGACATTGAGAAACACTGCCTTAAACATTAATCAGGAAAAACATTATGCTTGAAGGAGAGAAGGATTCTACAAGAATGAGAAAAGCAACTTCAAAGCTAGTTTTAAAAATATTTGCTTGTATTAACAGTCTCATAATAAATTGAATTATGTATTGTATCATACAACTAAGATTCAAAGTATATTAAATAAGAGGCCAAAACAGAAAGAAATATAATATTAATATTCAAAGCAATAATATAAAACTAAAATAACAGCAATCAAAAGCCTGGTTGTCAGTAAATAGTTGAAAAATACCTCCAAAGCAGGGGTCCCCAACCCCTGGTCAGTGGACTGACACGGGTCCAGGGCATGCCAGAAACTGGGCTGTGCAAACAAGTGAAGCTCCATCCATGGAATGCAGGCAGCACATGAAACCACGCTCCCTCCGGTCTGCGGAAAAACCTCTCTCCATGGAACCGGTCCCTGGTGCCCAAAAGGTTGGGGATGACTGCTCTAAATAATTAATGAAACTATTAAAAATGTATTGTCTTGATACAGATACACCAAATAAAATAGTCTGGTATTTTCAGTGAAATAATTTTGATATTCTTTATTGTTCCCTGGAAAAGGATCATTGATGTGTGGTAGATTACAATAAACAACACTTTGCTTTCATGAAGCACTTAGATACATTGTGTAGCATGCAGACAACAATCATTGGAAAAGTGGAAGAACTGTTGATCATTAAGAAAGGGAGCCTTTGTTTCTCTTATGACTTTTCCATCCCAAACGTGATGTCGTGCAACGTATCGGGCCGGTTTTGCCATTGCCGGCAATGGGGTGGGTACGGCTTCCATGTGACACGTCCGGCCCGCGGGTCGGCAGTTTGACACCTCTGAGCTATAGCAAGCACAGGGTACTAATATGAATCTGATTTTAAAAAGCTATATAATTGAAGAATGAATGAAACATGAAATAGATCAGGATACAGATCCTACTGTATTTGTAGGAACAAAGAAATGAAACATTACCATATGGAAATTTAGTCTTAAGTTAGTCTTTCTTCAAGACACTAATAAACCATTAATATATAAATTCTAATGATTATTATTATTCATAGTACAATATGATAAAAAAATCAAAACCAAAATGATTTCTACTTCTTTCAGATTAAGTAAAGCAGATCCTGTATAAAATTAGATACAGGATTAATTCCTTGGGTGCTGTTAACCTCCCTGTGTTTTTTTATATAAAAAGTACCAGAAGTAGCATTTGAAGAAATGTATGTAAGAATATAGAAATAGCAACCTGAATGGTGTGGTGGCCTAGTGGCGAATACACTGATCTTTCACTTGGAAGGTTGTGAGTTCAAGCCTAGGTAGCAGCAGCTTTTTGTCTCCTAGGGCGCACAGAAAAAATATCTGCTGCTAACTGTGTGTGGTGTCAGGAAGGGCATCCAGCAAGTAAATGCTCAGCTCCACCCAGTCGCCCCAGCTCTACTCTGAATTAAGGGATTACAGGGTCTTAAAAAGGGAGACTTGAAATAGCAGTTTGGGGAGGAGGCGGAAGCAATTTTTGTCCTGACTGTAATTTATCTTGTCAATCATGGTCTAGAAACTGCCAGAACTGATAATTACATAACAGAAAATGAGCACATTCATTAATACTAGTAGTTTTGCATGTATTGGATCCTTTGAAATAGTTGCATTGTTTTAGGTAATAAAAACCTAGATTTCTTGTTCTTTCACTCCCTATTTTAATCCTTAGGGCATCTTTAATGTATTTTCTAAAACTCCTATCAGTCTATAGATATTGTACCACTCCTTTGTGACAAGTTGTGCCCATTAAGTAAAATCGTGAACTGCTCTCTTGCCAGATGAATGAGAACAGCAGTTGAAAGAATGCATTTAAAGACTCTTCTCCCCCTCCTTCCTATTTTAAGTGGTTTGGAAACCTAGTTACCATGGATTGGTGGAACGACATATGGCTTAATGAGGGATTTGCAACTTACTTTGAACATCTAGGTCTAGACTACATTGAACATATCATGCCACTGGTAGGTGTGAATTAAACCAACCTTTCCAGTGTGTCTTTCATTCAAACTCTGCCTTTACTTTGAAGTGCTTTTAATGAAAACTATGTAATAGAGGCTCTAAGCTTGGAGAGATCTCTGTATCCAGACTATTAGTGATTGTAAAGCTCTGGATACCATTTCATATAAATGGTATCCAGAGATACCATTTATATGAAATGGTGAATCCCTCCTCAAGAGAGGTTTTCAAACAGCAGCTGAACGGTCAATATTGTAGTTGAATCTGTATTGAGCAGGGAATTGGATTAACTTCTTTCCAACTTTGTAATTCTATAAGTATGAGCTTTGTCACACTTTCTCTCTGTTTCTGTCATTGCTGAGTTGCTAGTGTTATGTGAGTCCTTATCTGCAGCCTGGTACAATGCAGACATAAGTTTATTATGCCTAACCTAGTTTTGTAAACTTTACCAATTTGCATGTGAATTTTTGCACCAAGTACCATGACTGGTTGCTTATCAAGTAATTTATAGTCCTCCTCCTCCTCCTCCTCCTCCTCCTCCTCTTTCTCCTCTTCCTCCTCCTTGTCTTATATCACACATATTCTGTCTGTACACACTGCTATTTATTAAGTGCTGTAAACCAGATTGGAACTAATTTATGCTTCTTGTCTATTAGAGATCAGCATGAAGGCTTTACTAGATGGTATAATAGGTTCAGTGAATAAGCTGATGGATTGAGATGGATAGAATTAACATTTATGCTTCCTTTCTGTATAGATTTTCAGTTTAAGCAAGTGTTTTTGAGTTTAATAGGAACAAGATTAATGATGTTAGAAAGGAGAGCAGGGAGAGCTAAATATGTTTATGAATGTTAACATAGAATTTTAAATTTGGATTTGCATGAGTAAAATTAACATTTTATGGTTATTTGCAGGATAAACTCTTTACCAAGCAGCTTGTACTACCTATGTTGGCTAGAGAAAATCATCAATTAAATCAGTCTGTATCAGATACAGAAACCAGTCAAACAGATTCTTTATTCGACCTGTTCAGTACAGTAACGTACCATAAGGTAAATCATACATTATTATAAATGTCAAATATATGATTCATAAATTGATGTAATGGAAGAATATTTTTACAGTGCATGAGAAAAGTAAATTATTATCTCTGTGTTTTAAGATCTTGTAATCTGTATGAAAGTGAAACAATTTTGATTATAGTACCTACCATTTTCATTCAGTGTATGTATTTAAATTATTTTGAATATAATGTAAGTAAACATCTTCCTAAGTTTATTAACGTTTTCTCTCTATGCATCTATTTTAGGGGGCTTCTATCATTCGGATGCTTTCCAAATTTATGACTGAAGGATTATTTATCAAAGCATTGAATGTAAGTTTAGAAAATATCTTTACATTACATTATATTGAAAATTTTACAAACTAACCGATAATCACGTTCTTGTTTTACTGCAGTCGTATCTGAGCGCATTTTCCTTTTCTAATGCCGTCCAAGATGATCTGTGGAATCACATTCAAAAGGTGATTAAATTTACAATGCATTTGCTAGACTTTTGATTTTAATAAATTGCGAATTGTTGGCTGTAAGTAAAAGGGATTTAAACTTCAGTCATGACCATTGGGTATGGCTGCTTTATTCTCTGAAGTCAGCATCACCAACTGTTGCTGACAGTTCTCCTTCCTGAATCCCTTGGCTTTTAGATCTGGCCTTTGTCTTGGCAGCTGTTGTTCATGGTCTTTTTAATGTGGCAATTGTATAGCTAAGTTAAAATAAGTTTGTCAGTATTTGTAGCCATGTACTCCAGCCAGAAAGCAAAAAATGTATAACGTACATAGCAACCCTGTGGCAGATTTCTGCTATAATTTAAGAGATAGGGGCTATAAATTCCCATAGGAAGAAAAATGCTCATTTGCATCAGATACTATCTGCTATTATCATGTGACTGAAAATAGGTAGATGAATTTTGCTACCTGACATAGATAGGAAAAAATGGTATTAGAGAAAATTAGAAAATTCTGGGGAAGTTAATTCTATCAGGGTATAATGAGGAGCTTAGTCCCAATCTCATTATCCAGACTCAAAAAAAAAAAAAAAAGGAGAGGAGAGGAGGGAGAAGTTATGGCTGATTTTTTGTAGGGCTTTGTAGAAAACAAAAGTTTCTGGATTTTCTTCTTAGCCATTTCTTCATCTTCTAAATCCCAGCTGAATTTTAGAAGAATGTTCCTTCAAGCCTCTTATTAAAATGATCACTTTTGTAAGAGTAAGGAATACAAGTCTGTCATGTGGCAATAAGATTTATGTTCCTCTGATAATCTCTCCTTATGATGTGCAGTGCATTCATTGTTGTGTTGGGAAGTGAGGGGTGGGTGAGGGGTAGTGGAGCAAACTATACTGACTTACCCATGTTTTGCTCTCCCAGCCTTAGCATTGCATATTAGTTCTTGGAGTGTTTATATTGTATTGGATATGAATAATAATACGAAAGCCTGTTTTTAAGCTTTGAGACTCACAAAGATCCTCAATTATTTTTCTAGGATTTTTTTTGTGGGTATACCATAAAGGAGAATATTTGTAGCTCGGGGTTAAAATAAGGGATCCTTGGTACTCTGAGTTTGGTTGTTTTCTTGCAGATATTTCATTACTCAAACTAGGTAACATTATCAGTGCATCATCACAAGAAAACAAGCAAGCTCAGAGAGCAGCATTTTGTGTGTGTAACAGATAGGGAAATGTTCACAGTTTTGATAAAATGTGCAGTGTTGTATATGGAAGTGTTGTATATGTATATGGTTGTACTGTATATACCTTTGACTTGCACAACAATGACTGAAAATTTACAGAGCTTGGATAGTGTCTGAGAGTGGTTTGTCATTGGATTAATCCTTGTTTCTGATTACTGGTTAGTAACTATAACAGTGTTTTTGTATACTGATTACAAGGTGGAACAATGTTAATCTGAAACACAGGTACATAGTAACTTTAAACTGTCTTACAGAAATATCCCATTAGTTTATTCATGTTTATCTGATTTGAATCCTGCTTTTCAAAGTGTCAGAATCCCTCTCCAAATCTCTGTCCTTACAACATCAACCTTATGTTGTAGCCTGGGTAGAGAGAGGGTGCTACGTCACCCAATGAGTTTCTGCAACTAAATATGGAACTTATCGTCATACTGAAGCATCACAGTCATATTGAAGCATATAATTTGCCTGCGTCACATTGGCCCTTAAATATCCTTTTTGTGCCTCTAATAAATTGGTACCAATTCATTTGATTGGTACCAAATGAAGAATATGTCCTTGTAACTATGCATTACAATTAGCACAGAGCTTGGCTTCTTTATTATTAAGCAAGATAGAAGTCTGAGTCATAATGGAATTTCAGAACCTTGGATAGTTCCAGTAATAAACTATCCTCAAATAATATATTGAGCAGATTTAGATTACCTTATCAAGATTATGTTCCTTTTTTGAAGATCAAAATGTTGATTTTCTGATTTGGAGATTAGCTTTTTATAAACTTTCCATCAGTATTTTGTGTGATGCTTGCAGTTCTGCAGAAAGTCTGAACCTCTGCCAGTACCTAAGAAGATTCTTGCTTATGGGTGCTTTCTTTGACCGGATTTCAACTGATAGCCGCTGATTCAGCATTAATTCAGCACCTTCACTGCTTGCATATTGCAAGAGGCATGGTTGATGAAAACTGATCTGCAATGTGGACTTGATCTCTGCTGAGATCTTAGTGATTCATGTTACTTGAAAGTTTCTCTATATATGTATTTAACATAACAACTGTATTTTAATCCTGAAATTTTTTTGGAAGGTAATAGATGAGCAAAATGACTTCCAGTTGCCAGCATCAGTAAAAATAATAATGGATTCTTGGACCTGCCAGAAGGGCTTTCCACTCCTGACAGTAGATTTCTCAACTGGCAATATTAGCCAGGAACCATTTTTTGCTGAAAAAAAAGAACACAACTCAGAGTACGTGTTTTTTTTAAAAAGTAATAATAATAACAATATAAAGACTTTAAACAGAGATTTAGTGGCATAAAAATAGGGTGCAAATACTAATTGATGTGTTTGGTGCCATTCCAAAAAAATTTGGAAAAGTATTTGAACACAATAGCAGTGGATATAATCTCAGTTAACATCAATTACAAAGGTTGCATTACTTGTATTAGTGTGCGTGTGTTTGTAGCTAGACAGACAGACAGACAGACAGACAGACAGACAGACAGACAGACAGATAAACATATTTTAATTATCCTAATTCCTTAGGAAAGATCCAATAGTCAAAATTACTAAATCAGTCAAAACTGTCTGGTAAGCCATATGTAAATACAGATAATAGTATGATTTTTTTAAATATATGGTCTGCAGGTTTTCACAATAGAAATAAATTCAGTTAGCACACTTTCCTAGTACAAACTATTTTTAGCACAATTTGTTATTTCTGCAGCTCCCAAATCTGCAAACTTTGATTTGTACTTACCCTCTGAAACAAAGTTGGAAATTTGTTTCTTAGACATTACTTATACATGCCAAAATGAATCTTACATTGCATCTGATTAAATAACCTTTATTGTCATTTTTTTTTACTGTGGGCACATTGGAACACATTAAAAATGAAATTTAGTTCCTTGCTCTCAAAGTGTACACATACATAACACACATTTAAACATGCTATATACAACATATGTATAAACTCACACCATTGCATATAAATAACATCTAAATATTAATCACTGTCCATCTTGAATACATAATGGAAAGAGGAAGCTTTAGAGTTCACAAGGTTAATAGTGTATGGAACAAAACTATGACTGAATCTGGATGTTCTGCTTCTGAGCAGGAATATGGGACACTTGGCTATTCAGCTAATTTTTTTTATTGTACAAACCATAAATTGGAGAACCACCCAAACTGGGCCAATTCATTATGCTTTAATCTGTACTAAGTTATTAGAAATTAAGTAAAGAATTAGAAATAAAGTAAACAATGAAGTTAAGAACAAGGACTTAATCTGAGGCTAATAGTATTTATAATAACATTAATTTATTTTTTAGAAAACATAAGAGTAAATATCCTTCAGCTGTCAGTCCCTGTTCTGGAATGCTTATTACTATCACAGTCCTCATTTTCAGCAGCTTGCATTGAATGTGTAAATATTTATATGAGAATATAATCAAATATCAGTCAGCCAAGATGGGCTTAAAGAAGTTACAAAAGAAGTTTTCTAATCTTCTAGACAGAACTATAGCACTTTTTAACAAACATGTGCACACAAATATAAAGCAGCTTATATTGTTGGGTTGAAACCTGGAAAAAGCTGACAATAATAAATTTCTCTCAGCTGTGTCATTGGAATGCAGCATGTACTCAACTGAAAAAGAGTTAAAATCACATAGTAGAACTTGCTTATCTTTGGAATGTGCCTGTTCCATGAGAACAGGTTCTCTTGGAATCAACACTATTTATTTCCATACAAGGAATATGACTTATAAAGGACAAACCTTTGAAAAGGCAAATCCATGAGCATCATTATGCATTCTAGTTGTCAGGTATAGAAAGTAATGTTTCTTATATACTTACAGATATTACCATATTAGAGGTAAGATAGTCCCATGCATATTATATTTGGCTTAAATGTAGATGACATCTATGGAATTCAAGTACACACAAAAGTTCCAATTCACAACAGTGGAGTGTGAGTAATGCAGCTTTTAGGTATAAACAGACTTTGCATTGCACATTTGAACTATAACATTTTCCCAAAAAAGAGAGTGTTTTCTAAGAACTTTTTTCTTAATTTATGTAATAGCATTTGAATGGTATTTTACTTCAGATTACTTATGGATTAATTATCAATTGTTATTTTTTATTAAGTAGCACATGGATTATTCCTATTTCTTGGATAAGAAATGGAACATTACAACCTTTAGTATGGCTTGATAAACGTAGTAGTAAGTATGTTTTCCTGAATTTAAGAAAGTCTTTACTGTCAGCAATATATGATTCTGAACATTTGAAAGAAGCAGATTACAGCCAAAGTATCTAATGATGAGTTATAGTAATTTCCTCTGCTTTCCATATAGGTTCTTTAACAGAAGATTTGGGGGTGGGTGGATAGCAGGAATAATTAACAATAATTAACAGAATCACAACGAGTCTGATTAAAAATCATTTGAGGTTCATGATAGAAAAGAAATTGGAAAGCAGATGAGAAGAGAATTAAATTGGTGATTAGGAAGGCACTTTAAGAGAGTAAAGCTTAATTTAGGATAGATATAGTGAATCTCTGTCCTATGGTGTTGGTACAACCAAAGAACTGTAGCAGTTCTGTCCTTTTCTTACTAAAAGCCAATTCTACCACCTTTGGCTAGGAAAAGTGAAAAAGTGAAAATGAATGCTGCAATCAGCAAATCAATGTATTATACTTTTACATTTTTCAAAAGATGGAAAAGAATTTCAGTACTCTAAACAGATCCAAATATTTCAGTGTGATATGATTATGAAAAAAGTTGTATCAATGACTTTTATCAATGTTATGGTTTTGAGAACTATGCAGCATATGTGTGGGCAATGTGATAAACTGCACTTGGTATATTTGCTTCTTTTTTCACATTAGAAATTATGCAACATGTCATCATGAGCATACATAGGTTTTCAGAAGGGCACTGTTAAAAAAAATTGTGCTAAGTTTTCTTCCTTTCATGTGTTTACAGAAATATTTCCTGAAATGAAAATATCAGATTCAGAACACGATTGGATTGTTTTAAATGTGAACATGAGTGCTTACTATAGAATCAACTATGATCAAAAGTATTGGAAAAGATTGGCCAAAGTGCTTGAAGATGATCCAAAGGTATGATAGCTTTTATCATGATTATGTAGATGATTATTATAAGAATAATTATGTTAGTCTACAGTGCAGCATTTTCTCAAGGCAGTTTGAATCATGATTTTCCTTCATGGTGCTCCATCACTGGAGGTTTTTAAGAAGAGATTGGACAACCACTTGTCTGAAATGGTACAGGGTCTCCTGTTTCAGCAGGGTTTTGGACTAGAAGACCTCCAAGGTTTTTTCCAATTCTGGTATTCTGTTATTTGGCTAATTCTGGTCTTAGAGAGAATCATATTCCTAAAGTGGATGAGGCTAGGGGTAATTCTTGAAATGTCTAGGAATTTTAAGAGTCAAAGAGCACAAGCATTTGCAAGGTTTTAATCTTAGTCTCCATTCCTACACAAAAATGTCAACTTTTGGTATGTATTAAATCCACATTCTAAAATGCAATAAAGAATATATTCACCTTCCAAAATGTCTTAAGTAAAAGGGAAATTCAGAAGAATGTAGTCCTGATAGAGATCACTAAATATAATTTATGGATTGAGGACATGAATGAAGGTAGGGTATTGTTTAATATAACCATGTATTTGGTTTCCCACATGTCTATAGTGGGAAGGAAACAGAAACAAATCAGAAAAAAGGACAGAAATATCCTGATGGGTTTAATACACCCATTTTAATCATATTGTTCCAGCACCAGGAGTATCAAGGTCTCAGCAGTCTGGCATGTTTATCTTAGAGGAATGAGGAAATGGATAGCTTATATTCTTTGTGCATTTATTTTATTTTATTTATCAAATTTATACCCCGCCCTTCTCCTAACGGACTCAGGGCGGCTTACAGCCAGTTAAAACAGATAACTAATACAATGAATGTAATTTAGAAATTCCACCAATTGATAAGGTTTAGGAGATATTTGTGAAGGCCTAGCAATATTACAATTTCAAATTAGAACCTGTCGTATATTTTTTAAAAGTCATCTTGAATAGCAGATCAATATAATAAATGTTTTTAGGAGTTTGAAGAAGTATTGCAGATACTTTGAACTACTATAAATACGAAGATAACTGTTTTAAATAAACTATAGTACATGGGTATCTTTGCAGGCTATTCCTTCTGTCAGCAGATTACAGTTAATGGGAGATGCCTTTCATTTGATTTGGTAAGCTATGCACTGTAGTAGATTTCTCTACACCTATAATTGAGTTCTGCATTCATTCTGCATCTGATCCCTTTTTAAAAAACATCTGATACATTTTTCTCTACACTTTCTTCTTGCACCATCTTTGAGTTTCAAGTGCAGGTAGCTCAATGTACCACATTCGCTGGATCCTTTGATCTACTGGATTAATCAACAAGAGTTGAGGAAAGAAATGAGGCATGGATTTTAAACTAATACATATTGCAGGGTCTATAACACTTTGAAATACCTTTCCTAGCCTTGATGACTAGACAACTCCACACAATGAAAGGATCTCTTAATGCAGCAGCACCCCACCTTTTGGGGGACCTGTTCCATGGAGAAGGGTTTTTCCACGGACTGGAGGGGACATGGTTTCACACGCTGCCTGCATCCTGTTGATGCAGCTTCTCTTGTTTGTGTGGCCCAGTTTTTGACATGCCGCGGCCCTGTGCTGGTCCACTGACCAGGGGCTGAGGCCCCCTGTCTTAATGCATTCCCTTTCCCTTAACTTAGTTCCTGAACCAGTGTGAATCCACAAACAGAAGGGGTGCATGGTAATGTGAACTGACTTCTACTAGCCATCTGCAATTTCTTCCTCCCCACTTTACTTAGGTGATTGCATCTGTGCACAGGAAAGGTAGACATTCTTTGGCGGCTGGGCACTAACATTGGTTCTACAGAAATATTTGAAAGCAACACACGTGTGAGATGATGTATAGGGCTACTAGACACCACTTATTCACAAATATATTCTTGCATAAATATTATGAATGCATAGGAGAAAGGAAAAAGACATCTTGAACAAGGTTGCTGGGAACAAGGGAGGTTTATTATTATCCCTTCTGCTACACAGTAAAGTTTTTTCACTATAAATGGGTAGCAGGAGCCTGTGATTGAAAATAGGTCATAAGCACTGGGGAAAAGGACAGAACTGCTACAGTTCCTTGGGCAGTAGAAAGAGTGACAAAGAGCAATGCGTTGCCCAGTTTTCTTCACACTTACATTGAATGGCCTTTTGCCTGATCACACCCAATATACATGTTTACAATACATTCCAGGTTGTTTATTGTAGGAATAGATCCCTCATAATTCAGTCCCTTTACTCTTCATCCTGTGTGGAGTTGATGCTGTGTAATGCAGTCCCGAGAATCTATACTCAGATGTAAATCTCATTTAGGACTTCCTACTAAAAGTATTTAAGACTGCAGCCTTGGCCATGCACATGCCTCTTCTGCCAATCATTCTTACTGGCATTTTTAAATCTGCATTCCAAATATGTACTTTCTATCCTGCCTCTATCCTGTTTCTTGCTCCTGCCCTTTTTCTGCTCCAGCTCTGACCCCAGACCACCTGCCTTCTCTGGCCTCAGCCTGCTTCCTGATCCAGCTCAAGTCCTCGCCATTCATAAGCTTTTGAACTGTGAGTATATCTTGAATTCTGCCAGTATTTTCTTCTATCTGGCTACTGACTCAGAAACAAATTAAAGACGAAATTAAGAGGAATTTCCAGATGGACAAGTCCTGAACTAATAAAATATCTTGCATTCTTTTTCTATCTTTTCCTCTTTAATTGCTTTTATGCTGAATGTCCCAACTTGGGAAAGGCTGTGATAAATAATGATACCTGGACATCTCTAAATTCTGAACAGGGAAAGTGCCTAATACATTTTTCCTCTGTAAAGACCTTTAGGGTCACTATGTTTTGAAACCAATTTAAACCATTTCAGATGCAATGCATATATGAAGTGGTAGTCTATGTAGCATCCTGATGTTGAGAGAAGTCAAGTAAACTGAGAAGGTGCTTTGCAGAATTTCTTACATGATTTTATTTACAAAGGAATATTGTGTCAATAGTAAGGTTATAAACTACAGGCAATTGTTTTATTTCTGCAATCTCTATATTTTTCATTTGTGCTTTTGTCTTTCTTGTTCCTAATGCTGCTGCTTTACCCCAGGTCTTCATCATAATATTTTTATATACCTTAATTTTTGCAGTTCAGTAATCTGATTCATCCCAAAAGTTTGCTAATGTAGCAAGCATTGGAAAAAAAAATATGTAGAACAAGATTGAGTCCAAAATTTGTCAGACCTCTTAGTTTTACAACTCCTCTCTTTTTTAAAGACAATTCTCAGGTAGAGGTTTTGATGGCTTTTAAAGTCAATGAAACCATATTGTCTAAAAGGAATATTCATTTCAACTTCTTTCAGTTAACATAGCATGAAAAGTTAGCTTTGTATGTGTTTGTGTGTTTTAAGGCCTTTTTTCTCAAATGTCATTTCTTTGGTTGATCATAATATTGTTGAAGCTCTAACCATTTATTTATAAATGCACTTTTTCAGGATTTAAAAACTCTCCTAAGCTATGTTAGGACTGGCAATCTCTGCTAATTACTACATTTTCAAAAAGGAGTACAAATATTGATACCTTCCAAAGTGAACTATATATATTACTCCTACCAAACAGCTTTGGTTTTTGTTTCTTTCATGTCACTGCTCTTATTCATATGTTCTTGTGTATATGTGTATGGATTCTGTTTTACAAATTTTACAACTCCATGTAATACTTGTTCATGATTAATATGTACAGTAGGATTGTCTGTAGGATTTTAAATATGCTATTCATGTAAAAGATTATTATTGAGATTTATTGACAAGTATTTGAGAACCACACATTAAATATGACTTGTTTTATGTAGGTCCAATCACACTGGATATGAGACTCCACTATATTTAACAAAATACCTTGAAAAAGAAGATGATTCAACAGTGTGGATGATGGCATTGCATGTACTGGGCATTTTCAACAGGGATTTTCTTCTGAGAGATCCTGAATTATACCCAGTTTTAAAGGTAACTGAAGTGGATGCTGAAATTGACTATATTCAGCCTAAATATTCTCAACACACTAAGGAAGGAAAGAAACTAAGTTTTGATCTGTTCTGTTGTGGGGCATTTTGCAAAATGTTACAAGCTAACAATCAGATTCTGATAAAAATTATACAATCAGAAGCTCTGTGTGTGTACATCTTTTTTTTTTTTTAAATGACCCTGTAGTCCTTTAATTCGGGGTAGAGTCAGGGTGACTGTGTGAAGCTGAGCATTTATTGGCTGGATGCCCTTCGTGATGCCTATGTGGAGATTGCAGCAAATATTTTTTTCTTTGTGCCCTAAGAGAGAAACATTTATTGCTACCTAGGATTGAACTCCCAACCTTCTGAGTGGGAGATGAGTGTCTTCACCACTAGGCCACTCCCCCAACACATATATATTCTCCTCAGGGCTTTTTTTGTCATAGAATGCCCAGAACGGAGTTCTGGCACCTTTTTTGATGGAACCTTGTAGGGTTGCATGACATGTGAGAGTTCCGGCACTTTTTTTTTTTTTTTTTTTACAAAAAAAGCACTGATTCTCCTGAATTCAAGTACAGGAAATGGAGGCACATTTGGAGAATATGGAAATTATTTTTCTTTGAGAGAATTAGAATAGGAAAGTATCTTTATAATAAGAAATATCAAACCTATAGTTAGGAATAAGTTTAATGGGACTGATCATAATTTCTCAAAAAAATGTGTTCTTTCCATATTTTGAGGATTTGATTTGTCACTGGTCAAGAATCAGTGTCTTTTCCCAATTATAAAACAATGATGTCTTTATTTTTAAAGCAATACTTACTACCACGAATAACACCAATATATCACCACTACGCAAATCTTCTTCGTGAGAGTCCTAAAGCATTGGATATGAAGCCATTCATCAAGTAAGTCTTAAATATGATTAAAATAT